GACCGGATTCACGGACCGACGGACCGGACTCACGGACCGACGGACCGGATTCACGGACCGACGGACCGGACTCACGGACCAACGGACCGGAATCACGGACCGACGGACCGGACTCACGGACCGACGCACCGGATTCACGGACCGGACTCACAGACCGATGGACCGGACTCACAGACCGATGGACCGGAATCACGGACCGACGGACCGGACTCACGGACCGACGGACCAAATTCACGGACCGACGGATCAAACTCACAAATTCGTTTTCACGGACTCGTTTCTCTATGACAATTTACCAGGGGATCAATGTGAATTTATTATCTCCATTCAAATCAACTCATTTCCACGAATCAGCTCCCGAATCATTCAACCAATTTTGGACAAAAAATTATAGATGTGTTCCGTACTCGTCTATTTTTGGTGATAGCAAGAGGTGTCTTTAGCGAAATTGAATCTAAAATTTCATCAAAGAATCTTCCCCATCTTCCCTTGAAAATAATACAGCCAAAATCGGTCAAATATTTTGAAAAAGAGCTCCATCGTAATGGAAACTAAATGCGAGTGGAGACGGTGTGTAAAAAATTGTGTAGAATAACTTCTTAATTGGAGATGGTTCTTTCATTCACAAATTGTACAAAAAATTATTCCAAATTAGTTTGCTTTTTCCCGACATTTTGCGGGAAAAAAACGATTATATCCATTTTTTTAAAAACTTAACTCGCTTGACTTTTATGACTACTGGCAGAAGAGTAAACATGATAACTCTTTTGAAGGCATGCAGTTAGAATCATATACACGTGGGCGGATCAAGATAAACTAATCATTTTTCGAAAAATCGTTGTGATTAACGTGACAATTAATCAGATAATCATTGGGACAAAATGAAATCACCGAAATTTTCGGATTAACCAGGCCCACTCAATCATTTCATCAAACAAATCTTAGATTTACATAAAATTTAGTTAATCACACCGAATTTTTATTAACTTGACCAATTAATCATTTTTCTTCAATATTTTGTCGTTTGTTGACAATTAATCGATCAATTAATCACTTAATTAAAATGATTAACGTAGATTAATTAGGATCAACTTCACCCGGTTAATCGCCAATGATCAATTGATCACATAATAATCCCAATTCGCCCACCCGTAGAATCATATTTAAACATATTTGGAACAATTCTACACCGCGTTGGTAGATAGTTGCAAAATTTAAAATTTAAATAAATTCATATTTTTTCGCGTCAAAACCCATTCGACACGTTTATATTTGTATTAATGCTAAAACAATAAAAAAATAAAATAAAATGGATAATAAAATATTTTTTTATTGTTATCATATGATTTCGCAATATTGGTTACTTATTTTGAACCCACTTTTGCACCTTGGTAAAAAATGGGTTAAGAAATCATCAAATTTCTATTCTTTTTCCACTTCAAAATGTTATATTACGCGCGAAAATTAATAAATAATATTACTATGAAAACCCTTTAGTTCATAGACAATTCTCCAAAATGTAAATAACATTCATGTTTTCACACAGCTCTTCGCTAAACATGATTTTGTAACATTTGATTGTTGCCCGGATTGTGAAACATACAAATTGAACGTTACAATAGAACAAATATGTTAGAAACAATTGCAATGCACAGGATGTTCATAAATATTACAATTGAACAATGCATAAAAGACAATTACAAAGAAAGCTCAAACCTGGCCTGAAACTTCTCTGGTTTAAAAGACGGTGAAAATGCGTTTGACGGAATAGAACAATCCAAATCGTTGACTATAGGAAGTTCTTTAATCAATCATTGTAAGCAAATAAAATCGCCATGACTAAAATATTGATTCACTGTGTGCGGTTCATCTTTGTATTTTTGTTGGCCAATTCACTCAAGATAAATTGTTATCCGATTGATCGTGGTGAAAAGGGTGATTTGAATGTAAGTAGAGTAAGTTTTTTGAAAGAGTCCGTTCAACTTCCGTCTGGAATAAGTCAAGAAGACACGAACAATATTCTCAATACACTGAAAAAATATGAGAATCAAGTGACTCAGTTAGAAGATGATGCCAATTATTGTAAGATCGCGAAACGATTCAACTGTTCAACCATTTATGGTCGCCTACAGGTAATTTTAGATTTTTTTATGAAATTTGTCTATTTATCTACATTTTGGTTTACCTTTTATAGAAAATGATAGACAATCTTTATAAGGAATTGAAGAAACTTGAACTGCAGACAAAATATGCGTCCAATAGTTTGCAACAATCGAAACAATTTAACAATAACAATAATGGTTTTTTCGATCTAGTTTTTGAGGTTTTTAGAAACTATGCTCTGCACGTTCGTTTCAATTTCAGTTGTAAGTACTGAAGTGTAACTGGGGTTTATTGAAAAATTTAAATCTTTTGAAAAATGTTCGAATTTTAGTGGGGCCAGTGACAACGACGACAAATCCAACGACTCCATCATCAACACCGAATTCAACGTCACCGAGTAATGAAACTGGAATAACAACAACTACGGGGAGATCGACAACAACACAACCAACAGAACCACCAATAGGAACACCATTCCAAGTGACCGTACCTGATACGAAACTACCACCTGGAAAATGAGTTATTTTAAAATCATATTATTCTTTTTCTCCTCCTAAAACATGATTTTCGTTATACTTTTTTCTGAATAAATAGTTAAGGCAACGAAAATGTCTATTCTTTTCTTAGTCTCATTCAATTATATGATTAACATACTTTTCTCATATCAAATAAATGTGCAATCCAGAGCATGTGGAATGAATAAACATTTGACAGGTTTTAAAGACCATAAAACTGGTTGTTATCTTCCAAAGAATATGACCGTCCAAATCAAACCGCTATGATTCTCTCTTATCACTTTCGTTCGGATTTCTTGTAAGAGTTTCCTCAAATGTGAACGTATTTTTAGCTCATTCAATAGGAAGCAGCATAAAATAAATTAGTCAAGAGTTCCACAGCTGTGTGGAGAATGAAATCATTCCATGTATGTGTGCCATACACAGCAGACGACCAGTTTAGCTGAGACGTTAGAAGTTCGTCGATGTTCGAACGATTATACGTCAAAAGGACCGCAGTAGCATACGCTATCACGGTCATGATTAAATACAAACTCGCATTGCCGTGTTGTTGTTGTTGTTTCGTTTAGTGAAAACAAATTGCTGTGCTTTGCCGTTGAAAAGTGAATGTCTCAAACTCGAATCAGTTTGTGTTGTGCTGCTGTGATCGTCACATCTTGTTGTCAAGAAATGCTTCGCGAGAGGTGACAGTGAACAAAACTATGTGCTATCCTCTCAACAAAATACATCGAATCGAATTTGTTCCAATGATAACGATAAAACAAAAACGGTGATCTACACAAATATTACCAGAAATGCAGCATAAAATAAGAATAACCATCGTTTAAGTGAATTTAATTTTAATTTAAAGCAAAATGGAATCGAATCATTGTAAACTCCCACCGAATCCACGAGAAAGTGCGAACATTCTGTCGATCGTATTTTTCACATGGACTTTGCCGCTATTTAAAAAAGGTTATGAAAAAATACTCAAACTCGGTGATATTTTCCAACCGTTGACTAGTGACAAATCTGATAAACTTGGTGATCGATTAGAAACGTGAGTTGATTTTTATACGTCCGATTAATATGGAACTATATATAAAATTTATTCTTTTTTTCTAATGATTTAAAACGAAACAAATGTGATTGTCTCAGCTTTAAAAAATACAAGGCAAAAAAAATGGTTCAACTTGAAAAACTTGACATTTATAATTAGAGTTTGTCGAAGAGATAAGTTGGCTAGTATTGATAATAATCATAGCCTTGATTAAATTTTCATATTAAAATGAAATGCGTATACGGTTCAATCACGTTGAACATTCCAGAAAAACGAAATTAGAGCTCGATATATATATATATATAGATGTGTTGATACCCAGCATTCGAAACAAATACTTGGCAATGATCCAAATATAAACCGCACACGAGAAAAGAAACACGCACGTACGCATGAACGATGCTCGTTCAATAAATTCTGCTCTCTAAATAACATGGCTAAAGTCTACGGAATACAGTTAAATATTCGGCGGATTGTTGAACCAAAACAAAATCGTAAACAGTAAATTGGTGTCCAATGTTCAGAGTTGAATATATATTCTCTTACAAAGTAGATCATTTAATTGATTTTAATCATGGATTGATTGTAATAATTAATGTGTTTTTTTTTGCTTCATTCATAGAAATTGGAATAAACAAACATCAAAACCCAGACACCGATCTCTGTTGACTGTGATCTTTGTCACGTTTTGGAGAGACTATGCATTTTTAGCGTTTTTATGCTTTTTCAATGACATTATTTTGCGACTGGGACAACGATTTCTATTGGGATATTTGCTTCAGTACTTCCGTGCACATCCGACAATAACATACGATGAGGCGATCTACTACGCCGTTGGCATTTTGACGCTGAATGCGCTGAATGCTATTTTGAGTAATCATATCATGGTAAAATTGCTACACACTTGCTTTTTGTGTTTGTTTTACAGTTTTGAATCAGAGCTCTGATCAGAGCAAAAATTCATTTAGACAACATTTATGTCAAAACTTCGGCTGAACTCTTCAATTAACCGAAAAAAACTTTTTTCTCAGTTCATCTCGTTCCACTATGGCTTGAAGGTTCGAGTGGCTGTGTGCAGTTTGATCTATAGAAAGGTGAGTCATATGTGCCTTTAAGTTTGCAAGATGTTGGTTTTTTTTTTTTTTTCATTTTTAATCAATTTTATCGACTTTCAACCAATTCCCCTCAATTTACAGTCACTTCGGCTTTCACAAACCGCTTTAGGCGAAACAGCACCGGGAAAAGTCGCAAATTTACTATCAAATGATGTGAATCGATTCGATCAGTTTTCATATTTTCTCAATTCATTGTGGATATCACCATTGCTCACGGTTATCGTTGGTTGCTTGCTGTGGCACGAAGTCGGTGTTGCTGGCATTTTTGGAATAGCCGTTGTTTTGACCATCGTTCCCATTTTAAGTAAGGCCCAAATGCATATCTGTACTAAGAACGTGTCATTGATACTGACATTTAAATTGCCATTATCATTTTAAAACAAAAACGTATTAAAAATTTGTTCATCAAATAGGTTACGCCGGCAAATTAACTTCAAAATATCGTCTTCAGACTGCACTGCAAACGGACGAGCGTCTACGATTCATGGATGAAATAATAAGCGGTGTGCAAGTGATCAAAATATATGCATGGGAAAAACCGTTTGCCAAACTCATCACTTTCGCTCGACAAATGGAATTGAAGGCTCTACGGAAAACATATTACATTCGTGGATTTCACATGGTTTTCATTTTATTCACAACGCGAATGGCTTTGTTTTGCACAATGCTGACCATTATTTTACTATACGGCACCGATCATATTACCGCTGCCAAAATATTTGTCATTACATCGTACTTTGGAGTCATCGCTCACATGATGTCGCAAAGGTTTACCCGTGGCATTACTGAATGTGCCGAGGTCATGGTTGCTTTGGAGCGATTGGAAACATTCATGTACTTGGATGAAAAGAAAACCGAAGCAAATGACGACAAGAAAACACAAAAGAATGGAGTCAAAAATTTGAGCAGGAATGGCGAGAATCGCACTAAAATGCGCACAAAATGTGCGCTGCAAACTGAGCTGCCAAATGACAAAGTATCCATTTCAATGCGAAATGTTACAGCTACTTGGGTATTACCGAATTTAGACGACTTAAGTTGCAAATCCAAAGAAAAGAAAGGCATAAATCAAAATAAGGTCACCACAAATAACAATGTACATCATTGTGGTGGAGCAGATGCTCATCTGAGCGATTTGAACTTTGATTTTCCCAAAGCGCGACTGATCGGTGTAATTGGCCCGGTTGGTGCGGGAAAATCTTCGCTGCTACAAGCGATTTTACGTGAGCTACCGCTGCAAGCAGGTTCGATTAATGTAAATGGATCGATCTCTTATGCGAGTCAAGAGCCATGGGTGTTTGCGGCATCGGTGAGACAGAATATTTTGTTCGGCGAGGAATACGATCGTGAGCATTACAATGCTGTGATACGCACTTGCGCTTTGGAAAAAGACTTTGAACAATTTGAAAACGGAGATCTGACGATTGTTGGAGAGAGGGGAGCAAGTCTCAGCGGTGGCCAGAAAGCGCGTATAAAGTAAGAGTGATTTGAAAAAAGCAAATTCCGTTGTGAAATCAAAGTGAACTTTTTTTTTAGTTTAGCACGAGCTTGTTATCGCAACGCAGATATTTACCTGTTTGACGATCCATTGAGTGCAGTCGATGCGCACGTTGGAACTCACATTTTTGACAAATGCATAGGACCGAAGAGTCGTCTAGCAAAACAGAGCGCTACTCGAGTTTTGGTCACACATCAGGTGTATTTTTTGAAAGAAGCAGACTGGATCATTCTTCTAAAAGATGTACGTACCTTTTTTGAAATGGAATAAGAGAAAAGGTTACCATTTTCAATTTTCCCATCAATTTTATCAATCCTTAATCAAAAAGGGAAAAATTGAAGCACAAGGAACGCCGGTTGATTTGGCTCACAATGGAGTCGATTTTGCTGAACTTGAAGAAATTGTCGAGCAATTGGAAGGTGCTGAAAATGTGCGAAAAATCAGCCAACAAATGTCACGGAAATCATCGACTCAATCTGCATACTCTGTAAATAGTCGTACGGACAAATCTGAATCTGAGGATGAAGAGGATGGAAACAGTGACGAAGACGTGGGCATACTAATGGAAGCCACCTCAAAAGGAGCAGTCAAAGGATCCATTTCATGGAATTACTTCAAAACAGGAGCTCACTGGTCGATCATAATCTCTTTGTTTTTCTCGTTTTTTCTTGTTCAATTCATAGCAAGTGCAATCGACTATTGGGTTTCCGTGTGGTATGTTTGAAAACTACATTTATTTCATGAATGAAATGATTGGTGATAACTCTATATTTCAGGACCAAGCAAGAAGAAGCACGTACATACCAAAAAACGCATGCCCAAACAAAATTCTATGGTTCCGAACATTCAGTTTCATTCAGCACAAACTTTTGTATCATCGTTCAAGGATCGCTAATTTCAGCACTTCTCATACTTGGGATTGCAAGGTAATTTAAACGATAATTACAATTTTTCACAGAAAGTTGCCGCACCAAATGGCAACATCTGTATGAACACCATAACAAAACGGCTTGATGTTTTCAAAGATCTTACGGATTTTATGCGATTTGCGTTCGAATTTCACAAAAGCTTCACGATGCAATGTTCAAAGGAATAATTTCGACAACAATGCGCTTCTTTGATACAAATCCATCAGGTCGAATCTTGAATCGATTTGCAAAAGACATCGGGTGAGTTTTTCTCAAAGTATCTCGTTTTTTCTTCATTGATTCATTGATTTTTCATCAATAAATTTCTCTATTTCAGTGCCATTGATGAGCATTTACCCAAATCTATACTCGATGCCACGCAGAATATGCTGTCGATGTTCGGTTTGATCATCGTGACAACCGTAGTCAATCCATATTTTCTGATTCCGGTCTTGATCTTAAGCATTCTTTTTATTTACATTCAACAAGTTTATTTGAAAACATCGAAGAATGTCAAACGATTGGAAGGAATCAGTGAGGAAAAATATTCATTTTTGGTTTTAGAAATGAAATAAATTGTATTAAAATATCCTTCAATTTTTGTTATACACAGCTAAATCGCCAGCATTCACTCATTTGGCTGCAACTTTAAGTGGATTGTCAACGGTTCGTGCCTACAATGCTGAAAAGATCTTAACGAATGAATTCGATGGCCATCAAGACACGCATTCGGCTTGTTGGTACATATATCTCGCTACACGATCTGCATTCAGTCTGAGTTTAGATTTGATATGCTTTGTATTCGTATCGTGCATTATCTTGTACTACATGTTATTCGATACGGGAGTTTCGGGTGAAAAAATTGGCTTGGCCGTCACTCAAGCGCTGAATTTAACTGGAGTTGTGCAGTGGGGTATGAACATCCAATCAATCAGCAATCATAACGTACAGTTTTAAATCAATAAATTTATTGTTATTCAGGTGTTCGTGAATGCGCCGAAGTTAGTACTCAAATGATGGCTGTAGAACGTGTGCTTGAATATTGTGGACTAGAACCAGAAAAGCAACCATCGAAACCAGTTACAGTTTCCATAGATTGGCCATCGAAAGGATGCATCGAGTTTCGAAATGTTTTCTACAGATATTGCGGTGAAAGTGAACCAGTCTTGCAGGGACTGTCATTCGTCATCAAACCAATGGAGAAAATTGGTATTGTTGGCAGAACAGGGGCGGGAAAAAGTTCATTCATCGAATCTCTATTCCGTTTGGCATGTGTCGATGGAGAGATTCTGATCGATGGAGTTGATACCGTTAATGTTCCATTGAGTGACTTGAGAAAAAATATCGCTATCATTCCTCAGGATCCAGTTTTATTTTCGGGCACATTGAGAAGGTTCGAATCAATGATTTTTACTGTTCCACCCATTTATTCTAATACAAATTCAATTACAGAAATCTAGATCCATTTGAAGAGTACTCGGACGCCGATATTTGGAGTGCATTGGAAAGTGTTGAGCTGAAAAGTGCTGTTTCAGACGAATTTGGTTTGGAATCAAAAGTTTTACCGCATGGTGCAAATTATTCGGTCGGTCAACGCCAACTATTGTGCTTGGCCCGAGCAATTTTGAGAAAGAATCGAATTCTGGTATTGGACGAGGCCACTGCCAACGTTGATCCACAGTAAGTTTATATCATTTCAACTTTTCAATATTTTGTGCTCTATTTATTCAACAATAAATCCTTTTTTTCTCTCTCTATAGCACGGACCTATTAATCCAACAAACGATTCGAGAAAAATTCACTGAGTGCACCGTTTTGACCGTTGCTCATCGATTGCACACAATCATCGACTCGGACCGTGTGATGGTAATGGATTCCGGGCGACCGGTTGAGTTTGACAACCCATATAATTTACTACAGAACAAAAACGGCATGTTCTACGGCATGGTGAAAGCTCTAGGGGAACATGATTTCAATCGTTTAACACAGATTGCCGGTGACAAAGCTAAATCTCAATGAAGAAATTTCGACAATTAGTTGCTAAGATGTATTTGTCTGACTTGAATCTATTTAACCGCTTCTATTTTTTCATTTGATTGTTGACAATGATAATTGTAAGTAATAATTGACAATTCAAAATATTTTTTAATGACAATGGAAATTTTTAAATTCATGTTAAATGTAATCGAATGAACTGATTAATGTGTTTCCAATGAGATTCAAAGATCAATCTTAAGATTTATCAGTGTATAAATAGGAACGTAAGTCTCTTTTTTACAATTGTAGACAAAAATAAAATTGGTAGACGTTCAAAAAGTAACAGAGAGAATTTTTGTAAGTAAAATATTACGGTAGAATCAAATCGCTTAATCAAGATATCACTGATTTATTACAATAAGTTTGTTTCCTCAGAATTGACAAATAATAATAAAATAAACAAGAACCAATTTTTGACTGATTCTTTTTTCAAAATGCCATCTAAGCAACGTAAGCCCCTATTTTGTCTTTCAAAAATATTCATGATATGGACGTTACTATTTTTCAAGAAATTTTCATGAAAACAACTCTTGAATTAGATGAATATTCAAATCTTGGAAAATTTGCCAATTTACCTCGGGTAGGGCGATTTCAATTGTAGATTTTATGTAGTTTAATGTTTTTACTTTTTTTATGTAGTAACAATTTTTTTTGAGTAATCGGCTGTCGAAAAACTGCTATAAAATGGAACAACTCAAATCTTGGTCAAAAAACCTATTTTCCACAAATTGAATTTTTTTTTCGAATGATGAATGGTTCCAACAAATTGTAGGTGAATTGTAGAATTCAAGTCAATGTCAGACAGAAAGTCTGTTTTCGAAGATGTCTGCCCATTCGTTCGATATTGAGACGACTCATGAAAATTGGTCCAAAACTGATAAAACTCAAATCTTGGCCACAAATTGAAATTTCCACAAACTGAATCTTCCTCTATAAAATTGTTCCTAGGTTCCATAAAATTGTAGAAAAAGTGTAGAATTCAAATCAGTCATCCGATCCTTGATGTTTTCAAGAACTTATTTGGCTCCAGGAGAGTTTAATATTTAATATGGGAATAAAACTGCTATAAACTGCTATAAAACGTGTTTTAATAATTTTAGTAACCAAGAATTAATTATAGTGGCCCGAAAATAATCGTAGAAGTACCTACAGTTATTATAGTGGTCGGACATTATTTGTAGTCGACTGTAGTAGCACGAAAATAATTGCTCGAATTGAGAAATCCGTTTGGCCATATATTTGAATGTCGTTGGGGAACGTATGGAACGTCATGCAAGTTGATCCCGGTGATATTGATATCATAACTAGGCAATGGCTCATCGAAATTCTTTCAAATAGGTTGGTTCGGATAGGAAATGAACCCATTCAATTGTTCGAATCGAGAAATCCGTTTGGCCATATATTTGAATGTCGTTGGGGAGTATGGAACGTATTTAATGATTCATTTCAACCGTCGTCATTTTTCCAACCTCAAATCCTGGGTGATCATCTCGAACAGTGAGTTTTCGTTGGTTAAATATTTATTTTGAACTATTTTCTGTTTTCTGATATTTATGAGTGTTATTTGTACGTTTTATGTTTCAATCTAAATTTGTACAT